ACACACACACACACACACACACACACACACACACACACACACACACACACACACACACACATACACATACACACACCATCACCACCACCACCACCACCACCACCACCACCTCTTTCCTTTCCCCTTCTTCTTAACCTCACGCACACGCCATCCTTCTTCCTGTTCCTCTTCTCTTTCCACCCTCTATCGCACACACACACACGCACGCACACACGCACGCGCACACCACTCCAGCACTCCTCTTCCTCTTCCTCTTCAACCCTCAACGACCCCAGCTTTCGTTCTTCTTACCCCTGCTCAACACGAGATGAGCGAGAGAGAGTATCACCGGAAGGTGCGGGCATACCGCAAGTACCGGATCGGGTTGCTGCCGGCGTGCTTGCTCGGCGACAACACTGTTGATGTGGACTGGCCCGCGACGAAAGACGCCTTCCGCAGAGGCGACGTGCGGCAGGTGCGCCGACAGCTCAGGGTGAAATTCATCAAGTACAGCCACGGACACCACCCCGTGCTGCCCGTGTGGATCGAGCTGAAGCACATCAAGCAGCTGGAGAAGATATGGTGGAACACGGATTACGGTCACATCACAATGTTCGAGCTGCGGAGAGAGCTGGAGTATATCTCGATGGCCTGGGCTGTGGAGAGCTACCTTGTTGAAGAGGAACACTACAAGCGGAAGTGGAAGAGGTTCTATGGCTACGTGGATCCTCTTGAATCGATGGCGGAGCTGAAGGAGCTCCTGGGCGGTGAGGAGGAGGCGAAGGTGTTCAGATTCAGGCACAACATGTTTCTCTTCGAGCTGGCGCGCTGCCTCTACTCCCAGCTCAAGTACCGGGGGTACGTCAAGAAGGCAATTCGGTGGTACAACCGAGCCCACCGCTACTGGAGCCAAGCCACGGGGAATGGCGAGTATTACTTCTTCATGGCCGACACGTTCTGGGAGACTCCGCGATTCAAGCGACAAGCGTTCATCGAGGAGCTTGAGCTACGCGAAGAGCGGCTGCGCCAGGAGGTGGATGAGTCGTACCAGGAGATTCGGGAGTGGCAGCAACAGAAGATGCGTGAGCTGAAAGAGTGGGAGGAAGAAGATCGGCGCAAGCTGAAGGAGCAGAGGGCCAGGAAGAAGAAGAAGAAGCAGAGCAAGACGCAGCGACAGCAGCAGCAACAGCAACAGCAGAAGGTGGTCAATGATGCTGAAGATGACCGCTGTGCTGAGGGGAGCGCCAAAGCAGCATCCAGCGCGCACGTCGTCGACGCAGTGGACGCATGCACCAAGGGCGCCAGCTGCGCTGACACTGCAGAGCCTGAGCTCCTGACCGTGGCCGACTTTGACTTTGCCCTGACCCGTGCGGACGACGTCATGATTGAGATGGAGACCTTTGACGACGAAGACGACATCAACAACACCGCCACCGCTACCGACGTCGACAGCAGCAAGGACGACGAGCACGGTGCCGAGGAAGCAGTCAATGGCGGAGAGGACGACGGCACGAAGGATGGTACCGCTGCCGTGGAGGAGGAGAAGGAGGAGGAGGAGGGTGATGAAGACGCCACCATCATTCCTGACATCAACGACACCGCTACCGACGTCGACAACAGCAAGGACGACGAGCACGGTGCCGAGGAAGCAGCCAATGGCGGAGAGGACGACGGCACGAAGGATGGTACCGCTGCCGTGGAGGAGGAGAAGGAGGAGGAGGAGGGTGATGAAGATGCCACCATCATCCCTGACATCAACGACACCGCTACCGACGTCAACAACAGCAAGGAAACAACCGATGGTGGCAACGAAGAAGGCACAGAGGAGGCCATCGACCACGACAAGGAGGATGGCACCAGCGCCGTCGAGCCTGAGAGCTTTGAAGATGCCAAAGACAGCGACGCCATCGCCACTACTGACGCTGAGGCTTGTGTTTGATGTGCAACTCACGAACAACGCATACACACATACACTCACACAATCACACAATCACACAATCACACACACACGCACGCACTCACACGCACACATGCACTCACACGCACACACACGCACTCACATTCATGAATCGCTTTCTGCTTCGTTTTATTGTTTGTCTGTGATGTTGATACCACATGCGCTTGTCTGGTTGTCTTGCTTTATCTATCATGTCATGCCATGCCATCAACGTGAGAAAAAGCAAATAAAGGCGTTGATTTTGAGATGTGTCGCTTCAAAGTGCGGCTGATGGCTGTTGCACCAGCTGGTCCACTGCGTTTGATGCCGGGTGCGTCCACTGCGTTGTCTGGGTCGCGTGACTGGCGGAGCAGATACAAGTGCACATGAGAAGGTGTGAGCGAGTGAGTGCGTTAGTGTGCAAATGCGCGTGTATACTTGTGTGTGTGTGTGTGTATGCGTGACACTCACAGAGCAGCAGTAACACACAAACGCACACACACACACACACACACACACACACACACACACACACACACACACATAGCAGCGAGAGTGGCGCCTGCACTTACTTGATGTAATACTTGACTCCTGAAGCCGTGTATGCCTCCTCCCAACCAAACGGGAGCGCTGCACGTTATGGAACATGGACGTGCAAGCCAGGGTAAAGGGGTGAGAGGGTGGCCGACGTGAATACCAACAGCAGTAAACCCCCAAAACACACGCACACCCACACACACACACACATACACACAAACACAAACACAGACACACACACATACACATACACAAAGTCGAAGGTAGACAACCACACAGGTGTACGTACGCTGCTTCTCCAAGATGGTGGTGACGCGTCTGCTTGTCTCTTCACAATCTTCGAGAATCATCTTCTCTGTTGGCGAGAGAAACGTCGTCTCACCACGCACTATCGCATCACCACCAGCACCGCCTGGGCCTGCGCGACGCACAGACCGACGGGCCAAGTCACCGTCGCGGGCAGAATGCACGACAAAGTGGCGCTGCTGTTCCAGGGGGCGGAGGTGTGCAACGGAGACGGTCTCCACAACAGGTACGTCGTCGTACTCCTGGTACCTGACCTGGGCCACCTCGCCGGTCAGAGCAATCGCCTCAATCACGGCTGGGCGCAGCTGGCCGTTGTGCAGGGAGCAAGGGGCGAGGCAGAAGTCGCCAGCAGCCCATGGCGCAGCAGGTGGCAGGGGCCCCTCGGACGGGCGGTGAAGCAACGTGCCGTCCTCACGCACAGCAAGGCTGCGGTCGGCAGACAGTTTCTGGGTGCCGGCCACGCTCAGCCGCCGATGGACCCTCTGTGGTGGTGGCGCCATGCGTGCAGGGGAGTAGGAGCGTGGGTGGACGATGGTGGGTGAGCAAAAAAAGCAAGTGCGGTGTGTTGTTTGCCGGCAGCAATTTGGTGCTTGCATCGGCAGTGGCTGAGCCACACAAACACACACACACATACATACATACATACATACATACATACATACATACATACATACATACATACATACATACATACATACATACATACACACACATACATACATACATACATACATACACACATACATACATACATACATACATACATACATACATACATACATACATACATACATACATACATACATACATACATACATACATACATACAGACACAGACACAAACGCACGTCGATGAATTCGCGAAGGGTGTCGCAGGCGGACTGGACAGTGTTCTTTGCAGCAACGGCCTTATTGAGCTGCACACCAAGCACGAGCACGCGTTGGCGCAGGGCAGCGAGCGTCGCGTCCTTCTTGTCTGGACTGCTCTGCAATTGGGCGCGCAGGTGCGCCACCTCGGCCTCCAGCAACCCAACAATCTGCAGCAAGCCAGCAAGCAATGGAGGTTATGTGCACACGTGGTGCATGCGTGTGTGTGTGTGTGTGTGAGTGTGTATGTGTGTGCAATTTCGCGTATGTCCGTATTTGTGCGCGTGTGTGTGTGTGTCTGCAGATGTATGCAAGATATGGACGGCAGCCACTTTGGCAATGACTGAATGAGATCAAGCAGAGCGAGGACGCTGGCTGCATTAACACACACCTCTTGATAATCGTCCTCAATGCGGCGTGATTGTGTTTGCGCCTCGTCTGTCAGGTGCGCCTTTGTGACGGCGTCGTCTCGCTCCGATTCCAGCGTTTCCACGCGCTTTACACGTGTGTGTGCATGAGTGTGCATGTGTGTGCATGTGTGTGCATGCGTGAATGGCCATGTGCGTGTAAGTAAATGAAAAGTGACGTGCGTGCGGGTGTACATGTACGTGACTCCACAAAGGAAGCAAGCGAAAGAGCAAAGCAGGAAGCAGGAATGAGGGTGAGCATCAGTATGTGCAGCATGTCTCTCTTCAACGCACCTCTTGCGTTGCTTTGAGCTGTTGCCGCAACACGTGATTCTGCTGACTCAGCGTGCGAATGCGCCTCTCCAGAATGCGCGTTGACCCTGGCGCAACAGCGGGCTCGTCCGCAGTGTCGTCCGCAGACACAAACGATTCCCCCGCTTCGCTCTCCTGCAAGGTATCAGGAGGGGGGGGGGTGGGGGTGGGGGAGAAATGAGTGCGTGTGACAGAGAGTGTGTGCATGTGTAGGTGTGTGTTTGTGTACGTGTGTGTATGTGTGTGTGTATGTATGCATGCGTGTCCGTGCGTGTGTGTGTGTGTGCGTGTCCGTGTGCGTGTGTGTATGTGGTGTGGTCCACGCTAACAACAACAGATTCGGCTCACCGTGTCCTCCAGGACCATGCGCACGGCGTGCTTGACATCATCAGGGTCAACGTTTCCGTGTTCGTCCGGAAGAAGTTGCCGCGCCACCATGTCCTTCTGCTCCTCCGTCAGCGCCGTCCCCATGTGCTGCACAGGACACACACGCACGCGCACACATGCGCAGAGAGGGAACATGTCAGTTGGGCAGCATAGATACAGTGCAACAATCAGACAATCCGTGCGTTGTGGTGTTGTGACACAACAATCCATCGAAAAGTGGTAACGAATGAGAAGAATGATGATGCGAGCAAAGTGGGGAAATCAAAATGGCCCACAACAAGCAAGCGCAACACGACGAAAGCCGAAAAAGCAAAGAAGAAAGCGTTGGCGGACAGACAAATGCACATACACAGACAGAGACACAGACACAGACACAGAGACACAGGCACACGACTCTATGAGTGACCTCGAAGATCTCCGAGAGAGGCACGCGCCTGCGTCTGCGGCGGCCGGGGCGGCCTGTGGAGCGGCGTGGCATGCGGCGCTTGGGCGAATCCTCAACCTCCGACGCTGTCGAGGCACACGAGGGGGTGCAGCAGGCGTGGCGGACAGGTGCAAGGTGGCGCGGTAAGGGGAGGTTGTGAAGGGCACAAGCATCGTGAAGCACACACATGTGCACAGACAGACACACACACAGACACACACACACAGACACACAGAGACACGCATAGACAGACAGACAGACAGACAGACACACACAGACACAGACACAGACACAGACACAGACACAGACACCCACACACCCACACCCACACCCACACCCACACACCCACACACCCACACACACCCACACACACACACACACACACACACACACACACACACACACAGACACCTGAGGAAGTCTCAGCATCGGATGGAACACTGATTGCATCTGGTGGGAGGGACACGAGAAACGCGGCCGTGTCGCGGCGCACATCGAGGCGAATTGCTTCCCCACGTGCACTGCACCGCTTCATCACGTGTGCTACCTGCCCGGCGCGCATGTTTGTGGTTGCCAGGTCATTGATGCTGGTGATCACGTCGCCAGCCTCCAACCGCCCATCCTCCGCCGCCACGCTGCCGTCAAGCACGGCAGCAATGCGCACACCAAAGCCGGGCTCCGCCTCTGCCAGCGTGATGCCGATGGGGCGGCCCGTTGGCTCAAGCTCAACGGCAGCGGGGTTGAGCGCGCGCTTGCGGGAGAGGGTCGCCAGCACGCGGCGTGCATCCTGGACGGCCATATCGTCTGTTCTGCGTCCGTTGATGGCCCTGAGGATCATGCCATCCGCCAGCCCAGCGCGCGCCGCATCTCCGGTGGCAGAGACGGCGATGACGCACGCCTCTGTATCTTCGTGGGAGGGGTGCACCTGCAGGCCGAGGCCCTGCCCGCTGAGCACCACGCGAACAAAGTGCTCGCGTTGTGGGTGGATTGGGGACGGTCGCTCACGCTGCACCGCGCCCGCTGCCGGCACAGCATGCTCCTCGTCATCGGTGGTTGTGAGCGGCACATGTTGTTGCTGTGGCACATGTTGCTGCTGCAGCAGCAGATGTTGTTGCCTTTGTTGCTGGCGGTGGTGCGACTGGTGACGTCGTGGGCCCGCAGCCGTTGTCGGCGGGGACGGCGTGGCTGATGCGGGGGCACCTGGTGGCCGGGACGGGAGGCGGCGGGCGCGGCGGGCGCGGGTTCGGGGGCTGTCGAGGTTAGACCCGCTGTCGTTTGGGCTGTTTGTCTTGCTGTCATGCATCGGCCGGCCAATGAGAAGCTGCACCTCACCCGACGTGACAGCCCGCTTGAGCAGCGACACGGCCCTGAGGAGGTGGTGGGTGGTGTGGGGATGTGGTGGGTGGTGAGGCAATCGCTGGTGTGTAAGCACACATGAAAAGCTGTAGTGCGGTTACTGTCAAGCCGCCCGGGCGGGGGGGGGGGGGAGGGGGAGGGAAGGAGAGGGATACGCAGCGGCAAACATGTAGCAGCGAGAAGCCGAGAGATGCTTACTCCACGTTGGTCACGCCTTCAAGGGGCTGGTGATTGACACTGAGCAAGAGGTCATCGACGTGAAGCTGTCCGAGCTTATCTGAAACGGGTCGAAGAATGAACAAAAGAGTGCAATGGTTGTGGGGCACGGGGAAGACGGTGCATAACGAGTGACAAATGCGTGTAAGGAAGGAGCGAATGGGCAAGTTATTCACGGTTCGTGGGTGCATGGTGCCACACAACCAGCACACGTGGTTGCTGTGGTTGACCTCACAAATTGTGCATCAAGGTCACAGCCAACACCTTTCAATCACACACAAGCACAACGGCAGGAAGACTGGAAGACACCTACTAGACACAGAATGCCATCGCAGTAACAGCGCAATCAACAACAACAGCACCAGCGCAATCACAACACCAGCGCAATAACAACAACAGCTTAAACCCACCTGCAGGGGTGCCTGCGACGATGCCGCCAACGACGACGCCGAGGTCATGGCCAGACCGTGTGCGCCCAGCTTTGAGTTGGATGCCTGCAAGCATGCAAAGTACGAGCGTGAAGTACACGGGTACACGTCCTGTCGACCCGCACAAGTGAGCATCACGCCCGAAAGCGTCTTGCTTCCAAGCATGCATGCAACCCAAGGCCACAGCGTAGGTGCACACTTGCTCTCACCGATGTCTTGGTCGCGACGCACTTTCATCTCGACAGGGAAGATGTTCATGTCCGCAGCCCTGAAGTACCCATACACACACGCACGAAGGGTAATGTGGTGTGTGGGCGCATGAGGACGCCATCAGGCCACACCGCAGCCACTGCATTTTATCCAAAACCACACAAAACAACACAACAACCACACAATAACAACCACACAACCAAGCAACCAGCAGAGTTCTTCCAGTGAGCCGTGCTCTCCCCTTCCCTCCTTCCCTCGATACGACCTCGCGGTGCACACGTACAGGTCAGGGGCGCTGCGGCGGCGACCGCGCTTGAACGCTGCCTGCTTCCTCGCGGCTGTCACCGCATCCATTGTATGGTTTGGTGCGTTGGGTGTGAATGGATGGGGTGGTGTTAGCAGCAAGGGAGAATTGACGTCTGTTTGTTGGGGTGGGGGAGAGCGCGCAAAATTCACAAAAGTTGTGACAATTGACGTATATCTTCTCATAAAAATCTGCAGAGCCAGGTGGGAGCAGCAAAGCAAGGACACAGCAAGCGCAGCAGGCAGTGACATGACATGAGACGACAGGTGAGAGGAAAGAGAAGAAGCAAGAGCACGGAGCAGCCACAAGGCCTTGGATGGCACTCTGATTGTTCGTTGTTTCTTGTTGTCGTGCCTTTTTTTTTTTCTTGCTTAGGGCGGAGATAGTGCGGCGCACAAGGCCTGCTTTGACGTTGCGGGGAGGAAAGAGCTGATGTGGTCCAAGATTTCCTGGGGTTGGCCTTGCAGCGAATCGCTCTGCATACGCATGGGGACAAGGACAGATGTGGCATGGCGGAGGGGGAGGGGAGAGGGAGGAAAAACGCAAGCATGCCGTGAGCTCTGTGTGTGTGTGTGTGTGCATATGTGTGTGTGTATGTGTGTTTATGTGTGTTTATGTGTGTGTGTGTGTGTGTGTGTGTGTGTGTGTGTGTGTGTGTGTGTGTGTGTGTGTGTGTGTGTGTGTGTGTGCCAGTACAAGTAACGAACGGTGAATGAACGAAGAAGGAGTAATGTGAACTGAGGTGAAGGGAAGGAAGGGCACATGCGCACAAGTTGACGCACCGGCGGCGCTGCTGCGAGCGTGACTGCGCAGCGATGAACCACGCGATCCTGCGTGGTTGGTGGAATGGCGAGGAGGCGCGTGGGTGCATGAGGGTGAAGACGAGATTGTGAGGAGGAAAGGAAAGCGAGGGAGGGTGGTGTGTGCGTGTGAAAGGACGTGAAGGAGGGGGAGGGGAACGTGAGAGGTGGCAAGCGGTCGGGGCACAACGATGTTCATAAACAGACACACACACACACACACACACACACACACAGAAAGATAGACAGGCAGGCAGACAAACATGCACACAGAAAGATAGACAGACAGACAGACAAACCCACACACAAACAGACAGACAGACAGACAGACAACCCCGCACACACACAGACAACCCCCCCCACACACACTCAGACAGACACACAGACACACAAACACTGACCAGGAAGGTGCGGGAGAAGTAAGAGGGCGTGACAAATGATTTGCAGAGTGCCGCGATGGTGAGGGACAGTGGGTCTGCTGTTGGTGAAGGCTTCAGTCCATGCCGCAAGAGGGGCCCTCCAAGGCAAAGGCCCAACTTGAGCTGGTGGTGTGGCGAGCACCCAGCCTTGGCGTCTCCATCGGCGCTGCTCGGCTGCCGCACCGCAGACACGCGGACAACCAGCGAGTCGAGCATCATCACCAAGACCAAGTGGATGGTGTGAGCTGTGCGGTTCTGTTCCTTGATCGCTTGGGCAGCGAAGCAGAGCCTTGCCACCTCCGCGTCACGCGCGCTCAGCGCAGCGAGGAACACGTCCGTGTCATCGAGCGTGCGCTTGACAGAGCCGTCCTGCGACACGAGGGCAAGGCCCTGCTGCTGACACAGCAGCTGCACAGCTAGCACAGCGGCAACCATTGTCCGCCCGCGCGCATCGAGCTGCGTGTCCAGCGATGACAGCGTCTCTTGCATCTCCTCAAAGAACCGGCGCGTGGGCTCTGGGAGCGTGCAGACTGGCTTTCGCCGGCGACGAGAGGTTGCCGTGGCCGCTGGCCTGGTGTTCGCCGAACTAGATGCTGTGGTGTCCGGCCGAACGTCCATTCCTGTCGACAGCAATGCTGTGTCCTGCTGCCTGCGTGCTTCTTGTTGCTGGTGTTGTTGCGGACGCGATGTTGTCGTTGTTGTTGCTCTTGCTGCTGTTGTTGTTGCTGTTGAGGAGGAGGAGGAAGACGCTAATGCGGCGGGTGGTGCTGTGGAGGGGCACATGATGTACACGAGGTCGCCACTGCAGATGCCGAGCGCTGACAACGGCGTCGCAGGTGTGTGGCCGAGGGGGGTCTTGCCGTTCAACGATAACACGGCGTTGTCACTGCAAGCGTGGACGTGTGTTTGTGTGTTCGTGTGTGTGAGTATTAACAAGGGTGAAACAAGAAGACAAGGTGGCGGTGGGGGTTGTGGACGACGATGTGAGCAGGAAGTGGACAACACAGACAGACAGACAGACACGCACACACAGACAGACAGACAGACAGACAGACACACACACACAGACACACACACAGACAGACACACACACAGACAGACATACAGACAGACAGACAGACAGACACACACAGACACACAGACAGACAGACAGACACACAGACAGACAAACACACAGACACACACACACACACACAGATACACACACACACACACACACACACACACACACACACAGACACACACACACTGGGCTTACGGTAGAGGTGCGCCAAGCTGTACTTGAGCGAGCTGGCAAAAGTCACCCACAGGGGTGGAGATGGCCGCAGTGATCCGCAGGTTCATGCGTGACCCATCGTTCCACACGACCCGCACTCGCATCGCCGTCTGTCCTCCCGTGTGATCTGCTGTCGGTGCTGTCCGCAGTGACAAACGATGTGTGCTCTCGAGAATGCGTGCGTCCACAACCAACCACTGCTGTCTCTCAACAGAACACAGGCAGGACACAGCACTTTCAATTTGTGCTGTCCTCTCCCGATAACCGCCACCAACAAGTCTGTTGTTGGTCAAGCAAGGTGACATACATCACATCACACACTGCTGGTCACATCACTGCTGTTGGTTGCAGACGAGCGAGCGAGCAAGCGAGCGTTGTCGACACCATTCACACGTGTACGACGAGATGGGGAAAGAAGAGAGAGCAGCGCCAGCTGCAGCAGCAGAAACAGCAGCAGCGACAGCAGCAACGAGCACAGCTACAGCAGTGGCCAAACCAGGCCTGCTGCGCAAGATCAAGTTCTACGTCAAGTTCACGCTCGGTAAGCAAGGGGGTTGTGTGCTTGCCTTCTTTGCTGTGTGCATGTGCGTGCGCGTGTGCATGTGCGTGCGCGTGTGCATGTGCGTGCGCGTGTGCATGTGTGGCTTTGACAATAAACCACGCTGACTGCTGGTCACACCTTGCTTCCAACAGGCATTTCCGTGTTCTTGATATTGCTGTTCCTGGTCGTGGTTCCCATTACGGTGGTTCGGAGACTCCTTGGCATCCAGCGTGGCCTGCCCGCAGACCTGCTGTGGATTCCTGGCGAGGCATCGCTGCCGTTCATCGGCGTCAAGTACAAGCTGGAAGGCAGGGTTGACCTCATCCGAAGCGGGCACCAGCCGTACATCTTTGTCCTCAACCACCAAAGCCAGGTGCGCCTACATGTGTGCGTGTGTACTTGTGCGTGTGTGCATGAGTGCGTGTGTGTGTGTGCGTGTGCGTGATACTGAGAGTTGTGGTACAACTGCGTTGGAGTTGCATTGTTCGGGATTCAGCACAAGTTCAATTCACATACGAGTCGCGCTTCTAACCATCCTCATGTTCTCCCTGCTTTACACGTTTGCGTTCAACTTTCGCACACACGAACACACACACACAAACACACACACACACACTAACACTGACACACTAACACTAACACACGCACACACACACACAAACACTAACACACATGAACACACACACACATTAACACACACACAAACACTAACACACATGAACACACACACACACATGAACACACACACACACACATTAACACACACACACATTAACACACACACATACTCATGCACACAGCTGGACAGCATGGTGATGGCAACCAACGTGCCAACAGACATGGTGATTGTGGCCAAGCGGTCGTTGTTGCTGATGCCCGGCATCGGGTTCATCCTCTGGCTCACCGACGCCATCCTCATCGACCGCAAGAACCACGCCTCCAGCGTCGCATCCATGGCTGCCGCTGCACAGCGCGTACGTCACACACCACGTGCTTGTGTACTTGTGTACGTGTACCTGAGTGCTCGTGCTCATGTGTGCTGTGTTCCTGTACCTGGGTGCTTGTGCTTGTGCGCACGGCGTTCCTGCTCCTGCAAAGTTGATGCAGTTCTGAGACGTCGCTTGAGTGCTCACATTCTGGAACGACTGCAACCTTAGGTGACTAATGACAAGCTGAGCGTGGCTGTGTTCCCAGAGGGTACACGCAACCGCCACGGCGGCCTCTTGCCGTTCAAGAAAGGCGCCTTCCATCTCGCCCGTCAAGCCAACGTGCGTGTTGTGTGTGCGCGCGCGTGTGTAGGGGGGGGGGTTTGAAAAGCAGGGGCCTGTGCACTTTGTGTTTGCGTTAAGCGGTGTTGCTCGTGTTGCACGGGGTGCTGGAGCTGGCGTGATTGTTCCCTGGTTGTTTGTTCACGCCACCACGACGCCGCAACACCCGTTGGTACAGGTTCCTGTTGTGCCGATTGTGTTGTCGGAGTACACGGACCCGACGACTGGCATCTACAACTCGGACGTCTTTCTCTTCTCCTCCGGCACTATCACCATTCGCGTCCTCGATCCAATCCGCCCACACACAGAGTAAGTTGTGTGAGTGTGTGTGTGTGTGTGTGCGTGTGTGCGTGTGTGTGTGTGTGCGTGTGCGTTGTGTGAGTGAGTGAGTGTGTGTGTGTGTGTGTGTGTGAGTGTGTGAGTGTGATTTTTTTTTGTGTGTGTGTTTGTGTTTGTTTCTGTGCGTTTCTGCGTATGTGTGCGTGCGTGTATCCTCTTGTTCATTGCTGCTGCTTCACTGCTCATCGCCAGTGCGCCCCCTCACCCCCTCTCGCTTCAGGCCGACGGTCGAGCGGTTGCGCGATCGAACACGCGCCGCCATGAGCGCCGCACTCGTGGACATGAACCGGAGCAGCGGCACCGCCCACAAGGCCAAGAAGGCACAATGACAACGCGTGGTGTGTTGACACATCACAACACAAAACACGAGCAAGCGCGCGATGGCAGTGCTTTGAAACAACACGCGGCGTGGTTGGTATTTGTCTCCTTTCATCTTGGGTATTCATGCAGACACACAAACTCACAGGCACAGACAGAAACACACAGACACACAGACAGACACATACAGACACACGCGCACACACATACACGCACACACACTCTCTCCCCATTCCACGACCATCATGAGCCAGCCAGATGTTACAGCCCATGCCCTCTTTGTGTCAGCCCATGCGTGCAGTTTTGTTTTTGAATGCTTTTAAGACATTGTGTTGGGTAGCAGCGCAATACAGCACAGCAAGACAAGCATTGCAAAGAAACAAAACAAAAGGTGGGAGAGAACAGGGAACCAGAGGCAGGCCGAGGGAAGCTTGTCAAGCCCTCGCACCACACGCAATACGGCGAATTAATGTCAAGACAAATACAACATGAATCACTCTGCTGCGATTTCGTTGTCTTCTGCTTCCTCCGCCGCTGCTGTCTTGGCCCTCTTGTTCGGGTTCTGTTGAGGAAAATGACCATGCACAGCGGACACGTGAGCGAGGAGGGACGGGGAGGACAATGGGGGGGGGGGAGAAGGAAGCAGAGGCAGAGTGACGGACGGACGGAGACAGACAGACAGCCAAACAGACAGACAGAAAGACACACATACAGACACACAGACAGAAAGACACACACACACAGACAGAGAGTCACACACACACACACAGACACACACACACAGACAGAAAGACACGCACACACACACACAGACACAGACACAGACACACACACACACACACTCACCTCGTCCTTGTCCTCGTTTGTCTTCTCTGCACGGAAGGGGTTGCTCTCCAGCTCAGCATCACTGCCAGCACCACCATCATCTTCGTCATCATCGTCGTCATCAAGAATGAGGTTGAGGGGTGCGGTCTTGCGGCGTGGGGTCACGGCTGTCGAGACGGCTGTGCTGGTCGGTTCCTGGTCATCATCACCATCGCTTCCACCCCGACCGGGCTCGTCGTCGCTGTCATCTTCATCGTCAGAAGTGATGACACGGCGAATCGAGCGGGCTGGAGAAAGCCGAAAGGGGGGGGGGGCGAGGAACATGCAGTAGAAGAGTGAATAGTCTGAGGAAAGGGGTGAAGGGGGGGGGTCAAGCGGGTATCAGACACACACACACACATGCAGATGGACACTACAAATGCAGACGGACACACACACACACACACACACACACACACACACACACACACACACACACACACACACACACACACACACACCTGGTTGTGCGGGAGCCACCGTTGCGTTGTCGTTGTCACCGTCGCTGCCATCATTGTCATCGTCATCAGCAGCATCAGCAGCAGCAGCAGTTGTGGGCTGCACACGCGAAGATGGGACGGCAGCATCGTCGTCGTCATCGTCGGCGAGTGGAACAACGCGCCGCACCTTTGGCCTCGCCGCCTCCCGTCGCTTTGCGAGTCCCTGGGACCCCAGTCGCCGGCCCCGCTGCCGCCGGAACGCCTGAATGTAACTCGACTTGGAGCCACCACCATCATTGCCATCGCTGTCATCATCGTCACCATCGGCAGCACGAGCATCAGGCTTGCTGGCGCGCGCATGTTGGTCTCCACTGTCATCCTCGTCATCATATTGTGTGTTGTGTTGCTGGCCGCTGCGGCGCTTGTGTCGTTGTTCGCGACGTGATGGCTTTCCCTTTGGCTTTCGCTTCTCCAGCCACTCCTCATCATCATCATCATAATCATCATCGTCATCATCATCATTATTTCCACTGTCGTCGTCACTCTCATCGCCACCAGCACCGTCGTGGGTCGAGCCCATCGCGTTGTGTGCAGTTGCAGATGCCTGTGGTGAAGGGCAAGAAAAGTGGATGTGATGGTACATGGTCGCGGTCAAGCAATCGACATTCCAAACACAGCTGGAGCTCATGGGGAAACTAGAGAGGCAACGCGTAAAGCACGCACACAGACACAAACAGAGGACGATACACAGACAGACAGAGAGAGAGAGACAGAGAGACAGCAGCGACATGTGCGCACCTGCTGTGTGCTGCGCTGTTGTTTCGGTTTCCTCCTCTTGTCCTGGAGAAGGTCGAGTTCAATCAACTTCTGCCGAATTGCGCGCTCCCGTCGCGATGACAATCGCGGATCGCCCGTCAGCACCTCAAGCTGCCGCAGGAACGGGGGGGGGGGTGGCGTGAACAGGTTGTGTGTGCTTGAAAACGGCATGTATGTGTGTGTGTGTGTGAATGTGTGTGTGAATGTGTGCGAGTGCGTGGATTACACAAGAGGAGTGCAGTCTGTGCATTGCGTGGGAAACATGGATTGCACCTTTCCAAGCAGAGGGAGGTCACTGCATTCCTTCCACACTTCCTGCAGGGCGGACAATTCCTCTTCCGTCCACGCCCTGATGCAATACAGTGCACGAGTCGTAAATGAGAACATGTCAATTCAGAAGCTTTTCAAGTCCGGCCACAGAACAAAACAGGCAGACAGACAGGGGGAAAGGCAGAACAGAGAGACAGAGAGACAGACAGGCAGACATACACAACCCAAGGCAACTCACTCCTTAGCGTGCTTGTAGCGCTGGCGTTGGTAGAGCCCAAGTTTGCGGAGACGAATGAGGACACGGGTGCGAACGAGTTTGTTCTCGGGCAGTTCATCGGACTGAAGAATTCCCTCGACGGGGTCGTCGTCGTGCTGGTGCTCCTCAAACAGGCGGCGAAGGGTGCTGTCCTCCTGTGGCAGGAGAGGCAAGGAGGGGGAGGGGGAGGAGGGATGGGTTCAGATAAGAGGTTGGTTGCAACGAGGAAAATGAAAGGGGCACAGACAGAGACACAGAGGGGCAGAGAGGGAGGTTGACAGGGCGAGGGGAGAAGGGCGAGGCAACAGAGATAGCGACACACGCACGCGCACATACACAGAGACGCGAGCAGACAGGGAGGCAGACAGACAGACAGACACACACAGACACACACAGACAGCCAGACACACACAGACAAACAGACATACACACACAGACACACACAGACAGCCAGACACACACAGACAAACAGACATACACACACAGACACACACAGACACACACAGACACACACACACACAGAGACGCGAGCAGACAGGGAGGGAGACGAATGCACGATGAGCGCACCTGCTCCGACCACTCCTTGCTGCTGCTGACGGTGAGTCCAAGTTTCGTGAGGCGAGCCTTGATGGCGCGTTCAGACCGGTCCTCAAACACGTCAATCATGTGTTGGATCATGTTCGGGTCGTCCTTGTGCGTGCTGTACAGCTGCCGCAGCGTCTTATCATCTGTGAACACCTCCAACATATCGTGAGAAGGTTGTGTATGCGTGTGCGTGTGTGTGT